CCGGTGATGAACCCCCTCCATTTGGGTGTTGTCTCCTTCACCCTTCTCCACATTAGGGTAATCGACCATTTTCCTTAAAAAATTTTAGACGTTTTTTTATGGATTTACTGGACGCTTGAGTGAAAACTAGGGTTTCAAAATTGGGTTCTCGAGATGATGAAGGTTTGAGGAGTTTTCAGCAAGAGAAGAGAGAACAGAGAGAGGAAAGATAAGTTTTGGGGGAACGGGTTAGGGGCATTTTAGGGTTTTATCAAATAGTTTCTCCCTGTGCTTTCTTAGAAATGTAATTAGGGGTTGAAATACAGTTATTTCATGTATTGGGGGCTTTGTCACACAAAAAATAATACAGGGTGCCTGGTCAGAACCACTTTATTTTTTTTAGGGCCTTAACACATTTTTCCTTTTTTCTTTAAAAAAAAAGAAAAAGCTAGAAAAAGACGTGTTGGATACAATCACCTTGAGAATGGACCGGCCCTTACCCATTTCCTCTTCTTTGAAAACATGAAAATGAAAGATAAAAATTACTGGTTTTTCTACATGAATATTAGGTGTGTTTAGCAGGTTTTTTGTTTTATTTTTATTTTACTTTTTTTGAAATAAGCATTGTGTTCTAGGTTGAGGGGGTTTTGGCAGATATAGTGATTTTCAAACACATGACGTACACAGCATGAATATTATACTTCTGAAACATTTTTGTTCTATGTACTGAAAGAAGCATCTAGCAACATATATAATATGAGCTAAAAATAAAATAAAAGGATTAGTTTCACATAAACAAGCTTGAGCTTTGGGGGATATTGCACATAATCTTTCTAAACTTTTATTTATCTCACATAATCATGCTGAGTTTTGGGGTGTCTCACAAAACTCTCCCTAAACTTTAATCTTTTCTCAATCAAATAGCTAAAATTTTCTTTCCCTCACCCAAAAAAAGGAAAGAAAAAAAATCATTTTGGGCGCGAATCACGTGAGGGATTCGCGCACAATTTGCCATTGGCAGCGACAAGTGGAGCATAAACACATCGATGCTAAGTTAGAACATCTACATATAGCCGAAGCATCTAAAAACATATATAATATGAGCTAAAAATAAAATAAAAGGATTAGTTTCACATAAACAAGCTTGAGCTTTGAGAGATATTACACATATCTTTCTAAACTTCTATTTATCTCACATAATCACGCTAAGTTTTGGGGTGTCTCACAAAACTCTCCCTAAACTTCAATCTTTCTCAATCAAATAACTAAAATTTTCTTTCCCCCACCCAAAAAAAGGAAAGGAAATAAATCATTTTGGGCGCGAATCACATGAGGGTGTTATGACAAATTTCCCAAGATAACCTAATATCAATCACATGTGAGCACAAAAAATATCAAGAACACACGAACTCAAAGATATACGTGGTTCAGCTTGTAGCCTATGTCTACGGGCGAAGAAGGAGAAAAGCTTTACTAATTGTGAGGAATACAAAGTGGAACCTCTTAATCTCTCAATCCTAAATAATACCCCAAAAGCCTAATACAACTCTTAGCTAAAAGAACAAAAGAGAAGAATATCAAATAGGCTTCATAAAAGAACTCTCTCTTCTTGATTGGTGCTCTAAAGATTGATGAATCTAATTGGCTTGAAAGACTATTCTTATATAGCATTGAAGATCCCAGCTCCTTGCTGTCTAAGGAATAATAGTTCTAATAGGAATAGAAGTCCACATGTCCTAAAACCCAATAAGAGTTCAAGTAGAAATAAACATCTAATATGATTGGTTGTGCAAAATCTAATGTAAGTAGGACTCTTAATCAAAACAAACCAAGCTAAAAAGGGAACTCCCAAAGCAATATGGATTTGAGTATTTGAGGCAACCTATAACAAATCTCCATCTTGATTCAAATGCGTAGAAGATCCCTCACTCCAAAATAAGCTAACTTACTCCACCTTCTCCAATAGCTACGCAAGGCATCTAAGTGCGGCACGTATCGATCAAGTCCAAGCCCGGCTTGAACTTGCTAACTGAAAGAGGCCTCCTCAATAAATCAACTGAATTGTTTGTACGATGACCATAAATATTAGTGAAATCATCACCTGAAGTAGCTCCGGAATAGCTGAAGGACACAAAATTATCAACTGACAATGAATAAGCTACCGTATCTTCATATCTTCACGGTGGTTGGATATTTTGTCAAGACTAATCTCTAGCAATAGTGTATTCTCGCTCTTCCTGTAGCTGCTGAGGTGCTTCATCTACTTGAACGGGATCTGGCTACTGAACTCTCGTAGTCTTATCCTGCTGAATCATGAATTTCTAACTCTACCTTATGTCCTGTAGTGCGCGCCTTATCAACAACTAAAATTGATGACCATTTCTGGTGGAATATAGTAGATTCATCAAAAGTAACATCACGACTAATAATAATCTTAGGAGACTTCGGATCAGGACACCACAACCTAAAACCCTTAACACCTGATGTATAACCTAGAAATATGCACTTTTTCGCTTGCGAATCAAGTTTCCCTTGACTAACATGTGCATATACAGGGAAACCAAATATTCTAAGATTAGAATAATCCACAGGCTTACCGGACCAAACCTCCTCTGGAGTTTTACTACTAATAGCAGTAGATGGCGACCGATTCACTAAGTAACAAGTTGTATTCACTGCTTCTGCCCAGTATTCCTTGCGTAAACCTACATTGAACATCATACAACAAGATTTCTCTAATATGGTTCTATTCATACGTTCTGCCACTCCATTCTGTTGTAGTGTGTGAGGGATTGTACGATGTCTAACGGTTGTCTCCTTCTTGCAGAACTCATTAAATTCTCCTCGACAAAATTCAATGTCATTATCAATTCTAAGCCTCTTAATCAGCCTCTCAGTCTGCTTCTCAATCAAAGACTTTCATTGCTTAAAAGTCACAAACACCTCATATTTATGTCTTAAAAAGTAGACCCCAACCTTCCTAAAGTAGTCATCAATGAAGGTCAATAAATGTCTAGAACCACCACCCCTCGAGGCAATTTGAGAAGGTCCCAAAATATCTGAATGGATATAGTCCAAAGTACCTTTAGTCTGATGCACTGTCGTACTGAAGCTGACTCTTTTCTACTTCTCAAAGATGTAATGCTCGCAAAATCCTAATTTTCCTATACTCTATCCACATAAAAGACCCTTCTTACTCAACTCAGTCAATCCACGCTCACCTATATGACCAGGTCTCATATGCCATAATCTGGTATTATTAACTCCTGACATCGACAATGCAACTGCAGCCGAGCCAGTAACTATAGAACCCTACAAAACATACAAGTTGCCGATCTTCTTTCCTTTCATAAATACAAGAAAGCCTTTTGTAACCCTAAGAAGTCCACCTTTACCTAAAAATATGCACCCAATGCTATCAAGAGTGCCCAAAGAGATGAGAATCTTCCTTAAACCTAGAACATGCCTAACATCTGTCAAAGTCCTGATGACTCCATCATGCATCTTAATCTGAATTGTGTCTTTCCCAACAGTCTTGCATGATACGTTGTTCCCCATAAGAACAACTCCACCATCAATAGCTTCATAAGTGGTGATCCAGTCCCGATTAGGACACATATGATAGGAACAACCCAAATCCAAAATCTAATCATCCATGCTCCTGTTTATATCATACGTAGCAATAAAATCACATCTTCAGTAATATCAACTTCAACGGAGTCCTCCTTTGATTTTCTTCATACTCTTCTTGTTTATTTTTGTTCTTCAATCTGTAACAATCAGTCTTGACGTGCCCTTTCTTCTTGCAATATCTACAAGTCAGATTCTTGTGTTTCGACTTATACCTGTTACCTCCAAAGTCCCTTTTTCCGATCTTCCTCGAACAAACAAGCCATCAGCTTTATCGCCACTTTCACTTGTGGTTAACTCTTTGTTGATCTTCTCCGTATTCAATAAGTTCTCTTTGGCGTCCTTGATACCAATAGAATCTCGACCGTAAATCATAGTATCCCTGAAGTGTTTGTAGGAAGGCAGCAAAGAACACAATAACAATAGGGCTTGATCTTCATCATTGATCTTAACATCAATCTTACTCAAATATGTAATCACAGAATTAAATTCACCAATATGAGATTTGATAGGTGTTCCTTTCGACATCCAAAGTGTGTACAAACGCTGCTTCAAGAGGAGGAGATTAGTGAGCGACTTCGTCAAATACAAATCCTCCAATTTAGACCACAAATCAGTGGTTGTTTTCTCCGTGAGAACTTCTTGCAAAACTTCATTTGTCAAACATAATTGGATCGTTGTGAGAGCTCTATCATCCAACTCGTTCCAATCTTCCTCCGTCATAGTAACATGTTTCTTTGACTTCCCGAACAAAGCCTTCTTCAATCCACTCTATGTCAACACGGCGATCATCCTAACTTGCCAAAGGCTGAAACTGATATTACCGTCAAACTTCTCAATATCCCACTTCGTAGTAGTTGTCGTCATCTTCTCGTCCGATTGATAGCTGAGGGCTCTGATACCAATTTGTTATGACAAATTCCCCAGGATAAGCTAATATCAATCACACGAAAGCACGAAAAATATCATGAACACACGAACACAAAGATATACCCAGGATAAGCTAATATCAATCACACGAAAGCACGAAAAATATCATGAACACACGAACACAAAGATATATGTGGTTCGGCTTGTAGCCTACGTCCACAGGCAAAGAAGGAGAAAAGCTTTACTAATTGTGAAGAATACAAAGCAGAACCTCTCAATCTCCAAATCCTAAATAACACCCCAAAAAGCCTAATACAATTTGCCATTGGCAGCGACAAGTGGAGCATTAGGTTGGAACATCTACATATATATAGCCGAAGTTTTTTAAATATTATATCGACAGGGAGGCCGGGGTTGACTAAGAATACTAACGTGATAAGTTATCCCATACGTCCCCCAACCCCGACGACAACAAACAAACCACCCCAGTTCTACAGTTTCTATAGTGTTAAATGACAAAATAGTTCAAAAGAAAACATTTTGAGCACATTACTTTCATCCCATTTTCACTGAAATATACAACTGCCTTAAACAAGTTTCTCCCGTTCCAAACACTTACAAATTTCAACCCAAGCACAGTTGAACACCTTAATTACTTAACAAAGTAAGGGAGGTTGAGCACGTAGAGCAAGAAATAAGCCCACGTAACACCGGAAATTCCCCCAAAAAAGAACCCACCGGAGAACTGGGCCCACCCGTCAGCCGTCTGAAGCTTATCGGCCTCCTTCTTACGGCCGGTGAGTGTCAAAGATGGTGCGGTGGACGGCTCCCCCTCCTTGAAGGAGGCGATGCCGTACATGGTGAGGCAGATGCTGAGGATGACAACTAGGCCGGCGGCGGCGAGAGAGCCGGCACGCGTCCCGCGACCTCGTGTTGCGGAGGGGGCCGGCCTTGACGAATGGGCCGACGAGGAGGAAACCGTGGGCGAGGCCGACCTCGATGCCACGGAGGAGGGGGGAGATGGCGGTGCGGTAGGCGGGGAGGTTGGAGAGCTACCACGCGATGAGGGGGGAGGAGGTGACGGGTGTTTCCAGGCTGCCGATGAAGGGGTCGCCGTTTATGGGTTGGACCACTTGGAACGTAGTCTGTTGTAAATAAAGGGGAAGACAAAAAAAAAAGATTTATTCAGGGTTAGATAAAGGAAATTGAGTAATCTACGGGGGTTATCTGCAAAATGTGGAAAATTCTAGGGAATTTTCTACAAACTCAAAAGTTATTGAGAGTTTTGTACAACGTACTTTAGAGATTATTGGGGGTGTTTACTTCAAAATGCTGAAAGTTCTTAGGTTTAGTACTCCTATAATTATTAACAGGAAATAGAAATGAGTTAGCTGTTAAATAGCAAAATAATTTGTCAATAAAATAGAACTAATAATGTTTCGGTAGCTGTATATTCATTTTTGTTCTATTTAAAAACTATTTCGTCTTTTTTATTATTTCTTTTTGGTGGTGGAAGATTTAATCTATCTTCAAAGAATATAAATATATTTGAAATATAAATCAGCTTCTATTACCTAATAAAATATTGAATTATGTCCATTTCTTTTTATTCATTGAGATTTACCTTTTCATGGCTACGGCCTAGTTTAAGAATGTGTTTAATTAGAATAGAAGTGTGGAAAATACAGTTACAGTATCACTTAATTAGTTCTAATTATTGCTACATGAATTTGAATCATTTCTATAAAACAGTAGTGGATGAATTTGAATCATTTCTATAAAATAGTAATGGATGGATCATTACTTTTAATCATAACGATTAATTATCTAGTGGACGATTATGATTCTTTTAAATCTAATATTCACCGTGTCCTCATGAATTGCGCTTATTCTTATTCGCATTCAAAGAAAAATCATAGTCATCTATCAACTAATCAATTATTATGAGAAGTAGTATTTGCTCAACTACATTTTTGAGTTCAGAGAGAATCAGAATCCTATTTCATTATGATAAAGTATAGTTATTGCTATAAAACACTTCAAAAATTAGCACAATTATTTTCCCTGTTATTCGAGTTACTTCACCTTTACAACAGCTTTATAGAGTTGCAACACATTCAATCAAACATGTATATTGAATTTGGATGCAATTGGAACCATATTGACCTAAACTAGTACTCATTTTGGAGAACCAAAAGACAAAAGAAATCAAAATTTGGGTAGAACTTTCTGACCTTCTCTGCTTGAATAGCTTTCACAGTGAAGCTGGGCCTGCTTTTGGCCTGCAAGCTCCTCACTGGGCTTCCCCCAACAAGGCCCTTGGGAACAAACAAGCCCCTTGAGCTAGATGAAATAAAGCTACTCTTGAGTTGGCTGGCCATTGGAGCACTTGGGAACAAACAAGCCCCTTGAGCTAGATGAAATAAAGCTACTCTTGAGTTGGCTGGCCATTGGAGCACTCGCCATTGTTTGCTCCCTTTGTCAACTTCTCCTATGAAGAAGTAGGAGATTAAGCCAAAAATTATTAGTAGAGGAAGATAAGAGGCATAGAATTTGAGAGGCTGCGGATTTGGAATCCATGCATGCAATCTCATTGGATGAGAAGTGGTCGCCACCTAATCCTTATCCGCTCAAGATATCTTTGCTTCTCATCCTCTCGTTCTTTAAATCCCCCGGGCTGTTTGTACGGCCCAATTAAGGAGTAGTGGATCAAAGCCCAATAGGTGCTTTCGGAACGGTTGGGCTATTACTTGCTGGCCGATTATCAGGTTTCATATGTTGTAGCCTCTTGCACGCCGTTCTATGTGTAATAAGGTCATGAGTTAGCGTCTTGGGTTTTTGTTTCGTAGAAACCACCTTGAATCGGGATAATTATACAAAAACTACCTTTGCATTTTAATTTATATATAGACCATTTTTAAAGTGAGCTTGTATTTCAATCAACGACCTTGTAGCCAAATTTTTACTAAAAACGTAATATAAGCTTAAAAATTTTACATGTAAGATACATAACTTGTACCCATAATTTAAATATTAAGAAAGAAATGAGTCGTGTGTCCAAAATATGAGTTTTTAAAGATTTTTTGAATTTTTAGGGAAAGTTGCGACTAGGAGTTGGTTAATAGTAAGACAAACCCACTTTAAAGCTAGTTTATGTATAAATTGAAATTTAAAGATGGTTTTCATATAATTACCTACTTTTACGATGGTTTCTAAGGAGGGGAAAAAAACTAAAATTTTAAAGTTCAAATAAGTTGAACCAGTTTTATCGTCAAGTTTATTCCACCTACATGTTTATGAACATGCCCGATAAGTTCAAATAAGTTGAACCAGTTTTATCGTCAAGTTTATTCCACCTACATGTTTATGAACATGCCCGAGCCTTCTGTGTGGAGATGCCAAAAGATATCGTCAAGTTTATTCCACCTACATGTTTATGAACATGCCCGAGCCTTCTGTGTGGAGATGCCAAAAGATACTATCAAGGAAGCTCTCAGGGTCTTAGCTTTACAAATTTCACAACGCAAACCACCTTACATTTACTATTTTCTTACATAAACGTAATGAATCATCCAGTTCTTGTTCACTCCCGTTCTCATTCACTGCGAAAAGAGGGAAGGTAAGAGAACAAGTAAAGTTTTTCCATAACATGAATAATCAAATTTAACAACGATCAAATTTTCAATTTTATGACAGCATTGTACTCGTCGCCTTGTCAGATGTTTGAGGAAACTGCAAGCCTGGTGTTATTCCTCTCTGTTCGAAGAATACCTGCTGGTCATGAGCTGACTGCTACCTCATGCCTCCGGTGGCCAGGATATTTATAGCGCAATCTCTACACTCTTCCCCCTGAACTCTTGAGAGTGTCCCACCTGTCGCATCCTATGCTATGCAATTCAAGGATTTTGTAAAGAGTATAATACATGTACCATTTTATCGAATAGCAGATTAGTGTCAGTACAGCTGAACAGCAGAAGAATCAGAGAACAACAAATTAGATGCATAATGAAATTGTTGATTATCCATTCATTCATTTGAAATTTTTTGCGGCAAAGTGGAAGATGGAAACAATTAATAGAGACATATTAGTTTGTTTCAAGGATAGCTTGGGCTTTCCTTCCCGAAGGAATCTTGTTCGATGTTGCAGAGCATCTCTTAACGTACTCAGGTCCACATTCTGCAACAGATTGAAACAAACAAGCATCAACAGTTTATAATTCTTGATTTATATATATGACTAGTATATGATAAAATCAAAGGTTACTGATCACAGCAGGAAATTTATTAACTTGTGCATACTGAATTCATGTACCCTCTTAGTATATATAAATCAATACTTCACAAAGATAAAATCTGGAAGGAATCCTTCACCAATCTGACATTTGTGAATAGAGAATAAGTTTATCCTAGTAACTTTAGAATTTTCGGAACTTGGTAGTATCCGGTAAAACTCTCCTGTAATAGGCTTACAGACAAAATTGTCGAAGCAGTAGAGGGGACAATTCCAGCCTACATAAGTGAGAATTGATTAGTTGTTTTCATAAAACTATCTTGCAATATTGCACAAGATTTTATCTTTCGCGATTGATCAGTGTAGATTTTATCTTTCGCGATTGATCAGTGTATGTGTATGTGTATGTCAAATGCTAAAAAGTAGTGTACTTTCGAAAAGGAAAAGGAGGAGATGGTCAAAGATATTGATACTTAAGATGATACGAGCCGTCGTGCGAGCACCTTTGATCGCGGAATTATCAAAGGTGTGTTGAGAAGAAAATAACAAGAACACAATAACAATTCAGTGGTGGCGAAGGAAAATACCTTCTCTAGATTGAGAAGAAAATAACAAGAACACAATAACAATTCAGTGGTGGCGAAGGAAAATACCTTCTCTAGATTATGAGAATAAAATAGTTTACAATCTATACCTTCTCTAGATTATGAGAATAAAATAGTTTACAATCTCTCACAATCTCACTAGAATTGAAGAATAACCTCTCTCAATTCTCAAATACAATCTAATCTCTCTTGATTGCTTTCTCCTTTTTTTAAAACCCTAAAACAATCCCTTATATAGGTGTAACAACGTGAATGGCAAAGTGGTAAATAACCAAACACAAACCCCACAGGAATTCGTGCAAACAAATACCCAAACAAACCAGAAAACCGTCGATGAGTCGACTTATAAACATGCATGAGTCGACTCATGCCAAGTGAGTCGACTCGTCAGAAACTTTCGACAAAACGGTTGGGTTTTGTGAGTCGACTCATGACAGGCATGAGTCGACTCAACCTAATGAGTCGACTCATGTACATGTATGAGTCGACTCACGAGCTGAAAACTGGATGCTTCGATTCGCCGTCTCGTTCCACGCTTCAACCTGCATTCCACTTTGTTGTTTTACCCCTCTATCCTCAAGTTACCATGAGAATCATCTATCCTCAAGCTCCCATGAGGATCGCTAAGTTCTAAAGAGAAGATACACCCGTATCATGGCTCCCCCTTTAGGAACTTGAAGTCTCGTTCAAGTTAGAACTTCAGCTGAGGAAACTCGCGAGCTTCTCCTTCCCTGTTGAACCACTTATCCTTGCTAGGAACCTGACCTTGACGTCCAATGAGAAACGACTCATTCGTCTCCCGCCTCGTCATGGTCGTCTTCCGCTCCAAAATGTAATCTTCCTTCAGCGGCTCTTCTCTATCAAACCACAAATCTTCAACATGCAGTAAGATCACCTTGTCGTCACCTTCATCATCCAGTAACGGAGGCTCGAATAACTTCAAATACTCGGTATTGATCACCGAATACATGCCTAAGTAAGGTGGCAAATCCAACCTGAAGGCGTTGTTACCAATCTGATCGAGAATCCGAAACGGACCATAACGTATAGGTTTTAACTTCTTTCCTTCTCCCTTTAGCCTCTCCTTACTCAATTTCAGCCATACCATGTCGCCTATGCTAAAGTTACAAGGAACCCGATGCTGATCATGTTTCGTCTTGTACTTGGCTTGTGATTTCTTCAATTGAGCTTCAACCGTGACATGAATATGTGCAATCTTCTCCAGAAATCGCTGAGCATGTTGTCTCTCACTCCATTCCTTATCGTCGGCCGTAGATTCACTGGAAAACACGAGATCAAACGGACTCAAAGGTAAAAACCCATAACAAGTCTCAAACGGTGACTTTCCCGAAGATCCATGAATAGCCCGATTAAATACAAACTGAAGATATGATAAACTCTCATCCCAAGTCTTGGGATGCTTGGAATTGTATCCTCTTAACATATGTACCATAGTCCGATTAACTACCTTTGTTTGTCCGTCGGTTCGTGGATGAAAGGTTGTGCTCTTCTTCTGCCTAGTGTCCATCAAGCTCCACAAAGAATCCCAAAAGTATCCGAGAAACGGGCTATCACGATCTGAAATAATCGAATTCGGCAACCCAAAGTGCTTCCACACATACTCAAAGAACAATTGCGCCGCTCCCGCTCCCGTCACGTTCTTCTTACAAGGAATCAAAATGACCATCTCCCGCACTTAGTCGTCGGCAATCCTCCTAAGAAATCCAAAGAAATGCTCTCTCACGGTCTCGATAGTACCGGCAATGGTAGATGCAATCCCATTTTCCTATTAGAAGGCTTCGATATGCAACATAGCTTACACCCTCCAACATACTTAGTGACATCCTCTAACATCTTCGACCAAAAGACATGGCGTCGTAGATTGAAAAGCGTCTTCTGAATCCTAAAATGATCTTACACACGTGATGTATGGGTTTCTCGAATCCACTACAATCGGTCGCCATCCTCCGGAATGCATAGCGACGTCCCTCGATACAACAAACCATCTGCATCAATCTCATACTCCCCATTTCGACCAGCCTTCGTCTGCTCGAACACACTGCTGAAATCTCAGCTGAATGTGTACATCTGTATATACTCTAAAGGAACCAATGGCTAAATGCGCGTCGCCACCAAGAGAGTTCTCACGGGTGGGCGAGATAACATATCGACTACCTTGTTCGTTCCCTTCTTATACCTAATGATGATATTGAACACCATCAAATAGGACATCCACTTCATGTGTCGTGCCTACTGTAGCTTCGTCTGAGCATGTAAAAATTCCAATGGCTTGTGATCTGAGTGCACAACCACCTCCTTTCCCAACAAATATACCCGTCAATGTTTGATTGCTTGATAAAGTGCATAAAACTCATTGTCGTAGGTGGGGTAGTTCTGAATAGCACCCGTAAACATTTCTGAATGGTACTCCACCGGTTTCCCATCCTGAATCAACACAGCACCCATAGCATAACTAGAAGTGTCGGTCTCTACCTCGAAGGTCCTCTGTAAATTCGACAATGCCAATACCGGTGCCTCCGAGATCTTCCTCTTTAATAACTAAAAAGCTTCCTCATGCGTCCTCCCCCACTCAAACTCAACCTTCGCCTTTGTAAGGCTATGCAAAGGTGCCGCATAAGTCGAGAAATGTCGAATGAACTTGCGCAAATACTAACAAGCCCCCATGAAGCTTCTCACCTTCGTCATTGTCCTAGGTGTCGGCTACTTCGTGATCACCACCACCTTTCTTGGATCTAT